CAAAGGCGGCCTTTGCCACGTCTACTTGGTCGGCGTCACTCACCTGTCCGAGGTATTCGTTCGGTTCATCATGCATTGCACTGTGTTCAACCGGAACGAAAAATTAGTGTTTCTTTTTCTGTATTCATTTCAATTGGAATTGTTGTTGTGTCATTTTCGAAACGATGCATAGCCGTGTTTTGTCTTCAGTTGTTGTAATAATAAGTAGAGTTGGGGAATTGTAAAAGAGTTTAAAGTTTACGCTGAATTCTTGTTGCAGGAATCAACCAGACAAGTTCAAGCTATAGTGAAATTTCTGAAACCGCAGGTTTTATTTCTGTTTTGAACTCAGTAACACTTGGTTTTGTGAATCGATGATTCTCGTGATTGATTGTTTGTTCTTGATTTCATGACGTGCCTTCCTGGTTTTGTGGATTTTAAATGTTGAAACTCTATGGCTGGTCTTTGTTTGGTGCAGGTTGTCTTCCTAGAATTGTGCGAGAGTCGGGTGGGACTGCTTGCCCTTAAGAATCTTAAGGTTTCTATCCTTTAACTTGGTGCTTTTCTAATTATTGTATCGTTTGTCGGGAGTACCAGCCTCCGCCCCGCCCCCCTCTTTTGAACTGTTTTGTTCGAATTTGTAATTTATGTGCATAAGAGTATAACACATATGAGGAAATAAATTACACTTAGAGAATATCAGTATTCTTCTTTTCCAATTAGTTTCAGATGAGTGGACAGTTGGAAAGATAAAGTATCATATGGCTGAATACTTGCATGGCTTACTGGTGTTTTAACATCACACACAGAGGCTCCCTTTCCCTGATGAGTAATTTAATTTTCCTTTTACATGAAGGAGAAAATAATCATCTCTTTTAGTTTTAGCCATAAAATGATAATCGTAATTATTGTTGTCTAATGGCCTAGATGTTTTATTCAAACTTAGCATCAGCTATTTTCCTTGATTCCGTCATTACTTTTGGTTCTCATCCAGTTATCTGTTTTTTGTATGTTTATTTATTTTTTGCCTTCTTCCAGGTACCCACTACGGACGAAATGATTACAATGTTGAAGAAAAAACATAATATGTTTGAAGTAATTTATAGTTGTGTCCAAGCCGAGGCAGGTTTCTTTTTTCGAGAATCATATGTATCATCCTTATTTGATTTTCAATTATTAATATTTTCCCTTTTCTTATTTATTAATGCTATACTTATCTTATACCCTCCTTTTTCTCTCCTTAAAATTCTGACAGGTTGCTAGTAAGCGTGGGGTCATTCCTGGCTCTGAGTTTCGTGTGGCATATGAAGAAGCCATCAAGTATGGCGGGAGAGGAACACCTGGGGGTCGCCCCATACAGGGTGATGTCGAGCTATACCGATTACAAGCGACCAATACTAACTAAATGCGTGACGACGCATTGTGTGTTATTGCTGTTTACTGCTGATATTGCTGAATGATGTGAGATGTGTGCTGTGATATGTTATAGGCTGATGTTGATAAGCTGGTTGATGTACGGATAGTTGTAGCTGTTTATCATTCATATTTTATATATGTATGTTGTTTCTTTTCACTAGCTTACCCTTTGTTGTTTCCATGTGATTTGGACTGCGATGATCATACTATGTATGGGAGCAGAGCAGGGATAGGTTGGTGGCTAGTGGTGAGTCTGCAGCTGGCAGGCGAAGCTGATCCTTGTTGATGTTTTGTTGTTTCAGCTACCTGATGTAGTTGCTTTGGGTGTATTTTTGTACATTTTGAATCTAGTCAGACTTGGACCATGTATATATATATATATTCTAGACACTATATGTATACATTTGTTCCTTTCTGTCCGATTTTCAGGTGTACTATGTAGTGTGTAGTGACCAGTCGGGTCGTTACACTAATAACTGATCCCAAAGTTTTTATACAAGGAAATCTCTCCTGTTGGTGTATTCAATACCATACTCTTCAAAACAAGTATGCATATCATGCATGTCAAACAAGACTTAATGTATTATCATATTACAACTATACATATCCATAATTGTATGACAATTTATTTATCGCAATAATTACATCAAGATACCAAGGCAATATACATCATTCCCTTTATCATTTGTTATCATTTGTATTGTTAACATACATGCATCACTAAGCATTGACAATGATGAGCATTATAGGGATCACATTGCATCAGTAAAATTCATTGAACATAAAGGAGAGAAAATATAATCTATAGAAACAACATCCAACGCCACTTTCTATGCTCAACGAAAAACTTTAGAGAGTACATTGCCCTCTTATTAGATTATACAATTGTATTTATGCCGTAAATATATAATTTAGTTAGTTTTATTTTTCGGTTAGCCATTACTTAGTTTGTTAGTTAGTTTTCTTTAGTCTCATGTATTTAAGGGATAGCTTAATAATTTCATTAACAGGTTTTTTTCATTCTCTAGTTGATCATCATGAGAGGGTCCCCTAAAGCTTTGCACTAGATGATGCTTAGCAAGCCTTGTGGTGTCCAGTGTTGCGTTCGACGATAGAACTATTGCATAATACGTAAATTTCCAAATCACATGTTTCAATCATCTAAATTACGATTCAATCATTAAATATGTTCTATTAGACATATTGCACTTCAAAAAGGCACAAAATGTCCATACCAATTACATACTCACGCTAACTCACCCTTACATTTCCTTAGGATTCTCAAAGTAACCCATAGACAATTCCAAATTCGCAATTATAACTTTACACATAAAATTGAATGCATACACATGTTAACCACATCAAACATAACATTGGAGAATCATGAAGAAGACAAAAACACATAATATACATCAATTGGGAAAAATTTTATCATACAACACAAACCATAAAAAAAAAGATAAGGGATAATCTCACTATCCAGCATATATCCATACCTAAAGCGAGACTACTCACTTTCTTTTTAGATGAATGCTAGATGAAGAATGTAAATCTACAGGGTAATTTCCCATGAGCTTTGATTCTCTCAATTCTTCATAACATTAACGTATGATGAACAAAACATGAGAAGTTTAAAAATAAAAAGTTGACCCAACTTCCATCTCTTAACAAAATTCCTTACTTAATCCAATAGTTAAAATACTTGACTCTAATTACATATATTTTCTCTCAAATAAAAACATAAAATAATTATTTAATAAATTATATATATATATATATATATATATATAACATTCATTATAACTAGTATAATAATTATAAAAATAAATAATAAATACATAAATATTATTAATGAAAAAACTTATAGTGTTACAAATAATATCCTATTTATTTATTTGTTAAGTAACATGAATTCAACACAAAAAATACTTTAAGTTATTCATCTTAATATATAAAAATAAATATATTAATTATAATCAAATTAACTATATTTAACATTACAAAATAAATCAAATTGAATATCATATAGATTAATAACAATTCAATATTAATATACTAATTAAGCATAATTTATTAATTTTTAGATTATGATATGATTTCCAATCATATCATATATATTAAAAAATAATTCAATTTTATTATAGGAATTAAACACAATATGTTAATTTTTAGATTATAATACGATTTTCAATCTTATCATATTTTATATAACATATTAATATCTTAACACATGAATAAATAAGTATTTTGATTTAATATGATTATAATACATTATTAAATTAACTGGAGTCTAATTATCAGTAAAATTATAAAAATAATTGTTGAAAATAATATATTTAAATAAACAATTAACCATAAATTAGTTTTTTTAAATTTATTATTTTTAGTATATATATATGTGTGTGTTTATCTTAATAAGATTAAAACATTAAAATCTTAATATACAATAATAAAAATAAAATATTAATTTCTTATTATAGTTAAATTTATAATGTGAGAAAAAAATGATGCTAACATATATGAATTTATAATATTTACACATAAATAATTTGAAATTATAATGTGATGTGATTACTTAATATATTTCTTAATTTTTGTTAATCTATAATTTAAATTGAATACAACAATTAATAAGAGAAAATCAACAAGGCTTAATATTTTTTTTTTTTTGAAAAAATGTGCCTGATTTTAGATCAATTATTATTTAATCTATATGATACTATATTAATAAAAAAAAACTAACACATGCCTTGTTTTTTGTATTTTGTAAATAACTCTAGGATAAAATTAAGATATTTGCAACTCTCCAATTTCATATATTCTTTCATTTGTTATTCGTGATTTTGTTTGTGTTCTTGGTTTTCTTTTGACATGAAGGCTCAATCATGAAAGTTAAATGATTCCTATGTACTATTTGTAAAGTGATAATACTTGTGATACATACAATGGAATTAACATGACTTTGATACACATAAGAGTCTTCATAACAAGTCAAAAAACACAAGAAACTGGAAGACAAATAGTCTTGTAATTTAGTTTGGAAGTTATAAAGTAGTTTTTATTGTGAGTTTATTTTATACTGTTTCCTGAATTTTAATTGTTTCTTTGTTTAACGCATGCAGACATAATGGATAAAGTAGCTGATTCTTTGGAGAATGCCTATAACGAATATGTTGAAGCTGGAAGAATAGCACTAGAAGAGAAGGAAATCGAGTCAAAAACTGCAAAAGATGATGTAGGAAAAGAGGTGCTAGAAGCCGAGAAAGATGATGCTTCTTCAACAAGTTCATATCCTAAAGCTTTGGAAAATTTCAAGGAGAAGTATGAAGTGTTCAAAGATGTATGTGATAAAGCTGAAGTGTTTGTAGAAACAGTGAAGCAAAAAATAGTATTTGAAGTGGATGAACCCACAAAGCCCAGTACCAGTGATCCGAAGTAATATTTAGGGTTTAACTGTCATGCTTTGTTAGTCTATAAATAAATAAACTAGGTTTGTGTTTTTTTGTTTTCATTACCATTAGGAACAAGGTCTATCCTATCTTATGAATTATATATGTATTTTTAGGAGTGTTTCGGTGTATTATGTATTTCTACGAAACAATTACTTCCTATAGTATTAATAAAATTTATAAATTTATTAGTCCATGAATAAAAAAAAATATTAATACCAAATTCACACTACTACTCTCAATTTTTTATTTTTTAATTATATCTATCATTTTTTCTTTTGATTTAAAAAAAGGTTACAATTAAAAAAATATATATCACACACATTGAGTGTTACAATTTTAAGAAAACTGAATGTATTATAATAGAAATTAATTTTTTTTAAAGAAACCAGTAAATATTTATTAAAATTGATTTAGGATATTTTTCATGAGAAATAAAAATTTATTCAAGCTGTTTTGAAAAATAAGTAACTAGTCTTAAAACTAGTTCAAAACCTAATTTGAGAGAGAATGAAAAAAAAGGAAGATAGAAAGAAAAATCCTGGTAAAATAAAAATAATAAATTATCAGAATTATTTGATATAAGAAAAAGAAAATTATACTCATATTAGCAATAATGAGATGTGGTTAAAAATTGAAAACGATATATAAATGTATTAAAGGAATCTCTTACTTTTTCTTCATTTTTAATTCTTTCAGATTTTTTCCCACTGTTTACATTAATTAGATACGAGCTAAAATTAAAGCTAATGTAATTTTCAAATTTATATATATTTTTAGTTTGATTTAATTTTCCATTAAAATGAATTCATGTCATCTCAATTCATATTATATATATATATAGGGGCTATGACATGACAAGTCTACCACTGTTACTGTTGACAGTCTTTATGGCTACGGACTTGTCATGTTATTCAAATCTTCTCTTTCTTTCTTTTGCTTTTGCATCGGCTTTTGTTTGGTTTTCATTGAAAAGCTAAGACGTACAATCATGATCCCTTTATTTGTCCCAATTCGATAACTAACAATCATTTCTTTTCAAAGATGGTACTCATTTTCTTAAACCCTTCCACAGTATATTGCTATCATGACATTGGCCTACAGTTACACAGATATTTATAAATTTTCTTATAAGACATTTTATTAATTCTCTGATTTATTTTGTTATATACATATTAAATGTATTTATTTTTCATTTAATATTTTTATGAAGTATAAAAATTGTAAGAATATCTATACTCTTAAAAAAAATTCAATTATAATATTTGCTGAAAATAATCAGAGGATATAAAGTGTCGACTATTATATATAATTTTGTAATATATTTTTAAGGGATTATATTTTAATTTATTAAGATTTTAATTACTTTAATGTTGCATTTGGATCCATACGGTGCACCAACCTTAATGGTATAAAATTATAGGTATTTGTTGTAATTGTTTATGTTTTTGAATATATATGATTTAACTTGATCCTCGTATGAATCAACATTAATCAAGTTATAATTATTATAATTCAATCTGACTCCTATATTATTGTCACTTATAGATGGTATGTCTTGATATTACCATCATATCACATCAATTAAGGTTCTAGCAGATACTCAACAGTTTACTTTAATAGTCAACATCTCAATAAGGGTTTTCAACAATTAGACCGCCACAACAATATTCTTACAATGATGTATTTAACTTTTAAAACAACCTATCCTTCAGTCATAAGTCAATTAATATAACACAACTTAATGCCCGAAGCATTTTCAACATAATCACACCAATTTTTCAATAATTTAATCATCGATATATATTATCCCAAATCGATGTATAGAAAACTAGTAACATATGTAAGTATACAACATGTAATAGATTAAACTACCATATACATTTTCAACCCTTATACAATAAAATCAACATGTTTTCATTGGGCAACACACATCTAACGTCATTCTCCCCGCACCAAACATCATTGAGACATAAAGCCTTTTGACTCGCCTATGCCCAATGCCAATCTACTTGAGCTTGACGAGAATGAGGGAGGGAGCCCTTGTGTCAATCAAGTCTGGCATGGCCAAAAACTCACGTCTGACCTTGTTTAGGCAAATAGCCTCCACGTCTAATGTACATTGGTGCTCAGTGTTGTTTAAGTAAAAAGCTTTTATCTTGATCACATTTGGTACCATTTAACTCAAGTCTAATGTCACCAAGTCAAACAGTTCCAAGGGCATCCACGCTTGATGTCATTCAACCCATGTTAGGTATGACAAAGTTAAAGAGCTCCTTTCGAACTCTCGCTTAGTGCTACCAATCTTGCACTTGACGAAAGTGAGATGGAGATCATCTGCCCTAGGTCACACCTTGCACTTGGAAGTTGCACTTGATGTGATTGTGATTTATGCACTTAAGTGAATCATGAAATTTGCTCTCTTCACCTAAAAGCCAAAAAATTCAAACATGCATTAAACCTATATA